ATATATTGGGTGAGTGCAAAAGTTCGTGCGGAGTTTCAATAGATGGAGTTATAAGCGTCGTAAAGTGTTGTCATTAATACTTCCATCTACATATTATATAACGTTGGAAAGGACGTCTTCAGCTGTTATTAAAAAAAAATCATTTGTTTTCATACAAACTGCTTCGAGAAATATCACTTTAAAAATGAGTATCGATAAGGTGCATTTACGGCATGTTATGCTTTACGAGTTTCGGAAGGGAATAAACGTTGCCGCAGCCGTAAAAAACATTCAGGATGTTTATCAGGATGAAGCACCAGCTAAACGAACTGTGGAAAAATGGTTTGCTAAATTTCGGCGCGGAGAATTTAACTTTGAAGACGAGCCACGCTCTGGTCGACATTCTTCTGACATTGATGACGATGTTTTGCGTACTTTAGTGCTCAATAATCCGCGAATTTCAACAGAAGAAGTTGCTACAGCACTAAACGTTGACCGATCAACCGCTTTTCGGCGTTTAAAAAAGATGGGATTCGATTTGAAGCTCGATATATGGGTGCCCCATTTGCTGACCGAGAAGAACAAAATCAAGCGAATTTCTGCAGCCGTTTCTTTACTCGGGCGGCTCAATAACGAGTCGTTTTTGGATCGACTAGTGACGGGCGATGAGAAATGGGTCCTCTACAACAATGTTCAGCGCAAACGGACATGGAAACAATCAGGTGAGCATGGTGACGCAATGCCAAAGGCCAGTTTGCACCCGATGAAGGTGATGCTCTCTGTTTGGTGGGATTGCAAGGGCATAATCTATTTCGAGCTTCTCCCCGCTGGCGAAACGATTGATTCGGACAAGTACTGTCGCCAATTAACCAATCTGAATCGAGAAATAAAAGAGAAACGTCCGATTTTGTCAAATCGCAAGGGAGTCGTCTTTCATCACGACAACGCCAGACCACACGTTTCGAAAAAGACGCTGCGCAAACTGAAGAGCCTGAAATGGGATGTCTCAACGCATCCACCGTATTCTCCTGATATCGCACCATCTGACTATCACTTGTTCCGGTCATTGCAAAATTATTTAAATGGAAAAAACTTTGACTCTTTGGAGGCCTTAAAAAACGGCGTCTCTTCGTTCTTCGAATCTAAACCGCGCAGTTTTTATGATCGAGGCATCCGTATGCTGCCAGAACGTTGGGAAAAGATTATAGAAAACGATGGAGAATATATCATTGATTGAATAAAGATTTTTGTTTGCCTAATCACTGTGTGATTTTTACTCACAAACTCCGCACGAACTTTTGCACTCACCCAATACAATCAAAGTTAATAAACAGACAAGTCTAAGCAAAGAAAAGAGTTTTCCGTTTATCTGCGAAATCTGATTATTTCAGACTGCAAAAATAAGTTAAGTTATCGTAAATAGCCGAAAAATATAAAGTTTCGAAAAGTGCAGTTCATAAAATTTATACAAAATATTTACAACATAATACTGTCGAAAATGTACATGATCTGGGATGGAGACATAATACAAGTGCATACAATGACAGAAGAATTGTGAGAGAAACTCAACGTAACCCATCGACAACGTCACGAAACATTGTTGAACAACTACAACTAAACATATCTTCAAGAACTGTGAGACGAAGATTAAAAGAGGTGGGTTTAAAGAGTTATGTAAGTAGATGTAAACCATATATTAATAAAGTGCATAAAAAGAAACGTTTAGCTTTTGCAAAAAAATATATAAATAAGCTATTATCATTTGGGAAACGAATAATATGGAGCGATGAAAATAAATTTGAATTATTGAATAAAAAAAGAGAGCACACGTATGGAAAAAATCGAATAAAGCTAAAGAAGCAATATGTTGTATCAACAGTCAAGTACGAAGGAAGTGCAATAATGATATGGGCCTGTTTTTGGTGATATGGGATTGGAAATTTAGTAGCTATAGATGGAATCATGAATGCTGATAAATATATTGACATTTTAAACGAAAATTTAGAAGAATCAATTCTAAAAATGGATCGCGATAAGGAATGGATGTTTCAGCAAGACAATGATCCGAAGGATTCAACAAAGGAAACGAAACAATTTTTTCAGAAACGTAAAATAGAAGTTCTTGAATGGCCTCCACAAAGTCCAGACCTTAACCTAATCAAAAATGTATGGAGTTTACTGGATGTAGAGATTCCATTAGAAAAACGCAATAATAAAGAAGAGTTTAAATGAATTGCAACTAAAATTTCAAAAAATTGATAAACATTATCTGGAAAAACTTGTTGAAAGTATGCTACGACGTTTACAAGCAGTAATGAAAGCAAAAGGCTACAATACAAAGTATTACTAAGTGCGCAACTAAGTTTCCGGGTTTTTTTGATCAATGAAAAATGGAAAATTTCAAGAGAAATACAAAAAATGGTTTATTCAAAGTATCATCCCTCGCTAGCTACACATTTTTGCCATCTCTCCGGCAATACATGAATACCGCGACGATAAAACGACGCGTCTTTGGACCGAAACCATTTATCCAACCAATTTTGCATTTCTTCGAAATTGGCCAAGTATTGTCCAGCCAAGCCATGCGCCATCGACCGGAACAAGTGATAATCGGAAGGGGCCAGGTCTGGCGAATACGGCGGGTGCGGTAGCAGATCCCATTTCAGCGTTTTGATGGTGTCCTGGATGATAGAAGTGCGATGGCACGGAGCGTTGTCGTGCTACAATATCACTCGTTCATGTCTCGTGTCCCATTCTGGTCGTTTTTCAAGCAATGCATGGTTCAAATTGATCAGTTGTTGTCGGTAGCGATGCCCATTGACAATTTCGCCCGGTTTCAGCAGCTCATAGTACACGATTCCTTTCTGGTCCCATCAAACGCAGAGCATTGTCTTCTTTCCGAAGCAATTTGGCCGTGCCGTCGATGTTGATGCTTCGCCAGGTGAAAGCCACGATTTTTTGCGTTTGGGATTCTCGAAATATATTCACTTCTCATCGCCAGTAACAATTCGATGCAGGAAACTCTTTCTTTCATGCCGCAAAAGCAAAATTTCGGAAGTGGCTCTTCGATTTTCCATCTATCTCTCAGTCAACTCATGCGGCACCCATTTTCCTTCCTTTTGAATTTTTTCCATGGCATGTAAACGTTTGGAAATACCTTGGCGAGTCATGTTCAATGCCTCCGCAAGTTGATCTTGTGTCAGCGTATCATCTTCATCCAATAACGCTTGCAGATCGGCGTCCTCAATTGTTTTTGATTTTCCGGAGCGCTCCTTGTCTTCAGTGTCGAAATCGCCACTTCTGAAGCGTTTAAACCAATCTTCACAGGTAGTTTTCGATGGTGTATGTTCGCCGTAGGCTTCCTCAAGCAAGCGACGTGTTTCAGTTTTTTTCAAGTTAAAGCAGAAAAGCAAAGCTTCCCGCAAATGCTGTTTATTTGGCATAAAACTCGACATCTTCGTTAGAAAAAATATTTTTGCGTTGCGATACGTGTTGGTTATTGTTAACAGATGTCCAAGCTATAAAAAAAACACAACTTCAGACACGTATGTCTATGTCTAACGACATGTGTCATTAGCGCCATCCATGTGTGAAACCCGGAAACTTAATTGCGCACCTAGTAATACTTACTTTGTATAGTGTCTACTTAATTTTGACCATGTGCAATTTTATGTTATTATCATTAATCAATAAAAATTCTAATATAGTATTTGTTACAATTGGTTTTTCTTTATATTTTGTCAAATTATTCGTTAATTTAAATAAGCAATAGAAGTTTTATTTTTTGACATTATTAGTTAAATTAAATTATCCTTTCGTTATTTATGATACCTGTCCACTTAATTTTGTCCATGATTGTATATAACAACAGATATAATAGGTTGTGAAATTGCAACGTTCACAGTGCAACAAAATGTGAGAACGTTCGAATCTGTCGATTAAGAAATTGTGTGGTATATTTATTGTGCAGTGCAATTCGAATTCAAATTTTTTTCCAGAGAATCTGCGCGATATACCATCACGATCGATACCGTCGCACATCTTATCAAATCACGCGTAAAAGTATTATTAATTATATTTGGAAAATCGATCTGTATGGCCGATAAGTAGCCAATAAAATCAAATGAATAATATATGTGTCTCGATTTACATTTATTTACCATATCTTTGATAATTGAATTATTCGTTAAATAATGTGACGGGTTACTGGTGACTGATGCATTAAATCTCGCATAAAATACAATTAATTACATTTGAAAAATTGTTCGTACGGCCAATGGAGAGCCAATGGAATTAAGTGAATAATACATGTGACTCGATATTGTGACTTTATATTTATCATATCACAATTAAATTATTATTTGAACACCGGTAACAGCATTATGATACCACTATGCACTCATCAAGCTGTGCATAAAATATAACGAATTTGAAGAAATCGGTAGTATGGCTGATGGAAAGCCAGCGAGATGTAAAAAATAACATCACGTGCCTCGAATTACATTGAATTATTATTGATGAATCAATCATCAGTTGAACCTCCGCGCTATAAGCGGAAATCAATGTGCCGGTGAATGTGTCATATGGTCCTCATCATAGATCTTCATCGACATTAATAATCGACGTAAGTGCGTTATGTGTCTACCGTCATTCCGTCATTTCAAGCACTTTTTCGTCGTACATTCCATACGGTACGTCGCATTTATCTCTGTCGTCGCTACCATGATATAAGTGTCATAATAACAGACCAGTCCCTCTTATGCAACAAGCCGACTAACAAGTGCGACTCAATAAAAGGATATCGCTAAGTGACAGTTAATCTATCCATCCACACGCGCAAAACCCGCGCATTTTTGTCCCGAAATAAGTGCAGCTTGACCTATATTTTCAGCGATCGCGTACGATCAAGAGTCATGACTTCTCGTTTGCATCGTCATTGTCGTCGTCATTGCCGTCATAATCTACGACGACGATGACTCGGCGAATAATGATTAATAGAATGATCGACATTGCACACACAGGTGTTTATGGCGCCATGTTACTTGGCCTTCGGTCGTCTGCTCAAGGTCCCGATGGTAGGCATAATAACCACCTCCTTCCACGACTGGCTCAACGAAGTGACCGGCAACCCATTCAATCCCGCCTTCATCCCGAACATGTTTTCGACGTTCGAGCAAAACATGGATTTCAAGGAACGGCTCATCAACTTTCTCATGATGAATATGATCTCCATACAGATTCACTATTACACAAGCTTCCAGATAGAGTATGTGAAGAAGTACTTTGGTATCGAAGACACGTCCATCAGGGAACTGTACAGCGATATATCTTTGTTTCTGGTGAACTCACATCCCGCGCTGCACGGAATCAGACCGTACACGCCGGCCATAATCGAGGTGGGCGGTTTGCACATTGAGGATGATGGTGAATTGTCGCCGGTACGTTTGAACAAATTGGCTTTCTCAATTATCCACAACGCGCGTATCCCGGAGTCTTCCTCGGCTACAATGAAGTGTGACCGGAGAGCTGAGATGATTTATCGTTAGTATCGTTGCACACAATGCACGCGTATCGAACGTAGTTCCATTTGTCTCTGCTCTTCGGCTAGAACGACGAAATATCGGGACGTGCGATAGATGGAAAACGGTCGCCGCTCCGTTGAGCAAACTATAAAATTCGTCGTTTAAACCGATAGAATGTAGAAACGATCAAACGGAGAGAAAACTAGAGCCATGTGTGTGGGAGTATTCCGCGGTTAAAGATAAAAGTTATAGATTAAAAATAAGAATTGTAAAAGACAAAAAACGTGCATTTCGATATTCAATAGAATATTTCTCTTTAATCCGTGCACCGATAACAAATGGATTATTCGTAAGTATTCATGTAGAACACTATGCAGAAATTTTATTAAAAATCGCGGAAAATATCGCGTACCGTACTGGTATGTTAATAATCCGCGTATAAATGGAGCTTGAATATATTAAAAATTATCATTTTACGATAACCATAAAAAAATGTCATATTTTTCACGATTTATTCAACGATTTTCTTTCAAAATCGTTAGAGGATACACTGGATTTTTATTCTCATTATAAAAATTTCAAGCGACACCTGAGAGTTCTATTTTAAAGATTCTTCACGAAGAAAAAATTGACAAAGCAGCTATTAATTAAATTCCCTTTCCGAAGATTTTCTTATTCTTTGAACGACACACTTGAAGATCTCATGATAGCCCGTTGTAGCCGGGGCTTAGGATTAATTGTCGCGAATTATTCATTCTAAAGAGATTTGTCTGCAGGAAGTGCAGAAATGGCTGGATGAAAGCAAGGACGGCTGCGTGTATTTCACGTTCGGCTCTATGGTCAGGATCGAATCTTTCCCTAAAGAATTGATGGAAACATTCTACACATCGTTCAAGAAGATTGCGCCGGTCCGTGTGTTGATGAAAGTTGCAAGGAAGGAAGATCTGCTGCCGGGATTGCCAGATAACGTGATGACGCAATCATGGTTTCCGCAAGTCACCGTTCTCAGTACGTAATTACCGGGTCTGTTGCGCGATCGCAGCGTCAAGGTGATAGATTCCTGCCCGTTTCTTATTAATCGTCATTAAAACGGTCATTTGTATGCCGTATGAATTGGCGCGTTTTCAACGCGACATTTGCATATAAATTAAGCAACTTTACAAAAAATATCACTCTTTGGCCGAGTTCCCGCACGATGAAAATCCCGCAAAAATTTTAAACTCTGTATTTATGGCGACGCGCCCGCGACGAGTTTTCAAAAAACGCGACTGCGAATTAAATGGAATCAGCGTTGCAATTTAGTCATTCACAAGGAAACTAGCGGGCGCTATATTTGCGGTCAGAAAGAAACTTGAATCGCTTTCACTGTGCTTGTGAGAGAAAAGGAGAATCGAGAAAAATGTCTGGAAAATTAATGCTTGAAGTAACGACGCCATGCGTCCGAAGTTTATTCGCGAAACAGCTGAATGTCCCGGGAAGAAAAAAACGAGAGGATCCTTTTGGTTTCGTTTAGATTGTTCTCCATTGTTTTTGCCGTTCCCGCCCGATATCCGTTGGATGTCTGATCGCATGATATTTTCGTCGCACTGTAAAAGCAACCCACTGTTCTCAATTCTCGCAGAACACAAAAACATACGGGCTTTCATTACGCACGGTGGACTCATGGGAACGCAGGAAGCGATCTCTTATGAAATCCCCATGGTCGGCATTCCCTTATTTGGCGATCAACGTGTCAATATCCAGTCTTATGTGAAAAAAAAGGTGGCTATCTCGCTAAACTCTATATCGGACGTTACCGAAGAGAAATTAACATCGGCACTGAATACTATTCTGAAGGATCCCATTTATCGGTGAGTACTCGAAGACAATAGCTGCTAGAAAACGTAGGCGTTATACATTCAGCTACTAATTGTAGCGTGTTCAATGAAGATTAATGAAATCATAACATTCATCGTAAACATAAATACAATAATGTATAATTGAGGTCTCATCAAGCAAACAAACAGACACAAACATGTCGATTATCGTAAAATGCGGTGACGTCATAAGAGATAATTGTAACTTCTCATTATGTTCTCTCTCTCTCTCTCTCTCTCTCTCTCTCTCTCTCTCTCTCTCTTTCTCTCTTTCTCTTCTTCCTCTTTTTCTTGTCTGCTGTCAGTTTATTTTCGCTTTCCTCCGATTTCGTTTCCCTTCCGACATGTTTCTACTCGTTCGACTTCACGGCCGTGAGCTCATTCCCGCCGGCGAATGGAATAACTTTATAGCGGGAGGAATGCGACTCCACTCTTGATGTAAGTTAATTCAGTAGTAAGTAAATCCAGTGTAAGTAAATCCAGCAGCGGCCACATATTAAAAGGATCTCAAAAGTCTGGAGGCTCGTTAAATCTTATTAGCCCGCCAGTATCGATCCGCAACCGGTTGCACCGCATTACACATCGCCGAACGAACAGAGCATACTCGCATGCTATTGTAATCGAATCTTGTTTAACTCTCGGATGCATATCGCGCATCAGCTCTAGTCCTAATCGGTATGCACCTTAAATTCCGATCGATCGCTTATCCTCGTCTGTACGGTCGCGGACATAAAGGTTGTCACTTTCTTTTTAATGACTTTCGGGACGCATCCCGACTCGAGAAAGATGAGAGCTGCTGCTCCGCCTGCGGAGCACGCCTACGCAGCAACTCACAACAAAAGGCGAGAAATGAAATATACGTGGTATGACATACCATAAGTATGTCAACAATTATTGCGTTCAGCGGAGAAAACCGCTCAATGAGCGATTAGTGACTAAATAAATATGATTTCACTTAAAATTTAATATATAATACATACCTGTTCAATACCTTGCAAAAGACGCATCACCATTTGAATGACTTGCACTATGTATCCATCCCTCCGCTGCTGATTTTTCAAAATGTAAGAATGGGGTGCGTTCACGACACTCAACGGTTGAGCAACTGTTGAATAATATGTCAACGTTATTGGTCTGAATGTAAGGATCTAACAATAAAGACCAATAGTCACTAATCGCTCATTGAGCGGTTTTCTCCGCTAAACGCAATGATCGTTGACATACTTATGTCATACCACGTATATTTCATTTCTCGTCTTTCGTTGTGAGTTACTGCGCAGGCGTGCTCCGCAGGCGGAGCAGCTCCCATTTTTCTCGAGTCAGGATGCGTCCCGAAAGTCATTAAAAAAAAAGTGACAACCTTTATGTCCGCGACCGTACCTTTGTAAATAGGCTGTGTGAAGGCTCGTCTACATTAGCTGTAAAGCCAGCGGCATACGGTGTTTGTTTTCGTGCTGGTTTGCTTGCTGGATGAAAATACTGCGTTCTGATTGGTGCATTTCCATCCATCTTCGGAAATGTACCAATCAGAACGCAGTATTTTCATCCAACAAGCAATCCAGCACGAAAACAAGCACCGTGTGCCGCTGGCTTTAGAGTAAGGTTGTAAGGTTGCAAGATACGAAATGAAATATTTTCATTCGCTGACAGCTTACGTTACAACCTTACAGCCTTACTCTTATAGCTATTGTAGACGAGCCTTGAGACGCGTAGTGTATATTCCACGCGAATAAAAGGCGAAATGCTTTATCAGTGCAGAACGAGAGTAGCGGCAGGGAAATAGAAAATCTAGCAGAAGATTCGACGTGCTTTCAACTCGAGCAGACACCGAAATTTCGCTCGGCATCGGACAGACGACGGTCTCAGTGATGTTGATAAAAACACATCGCGTCGGTCGTGAGCTCTTCTATTCTATATCAATATTTTCGACGATTCTACGTTTCGCGAAACGACATGTGCGCATTCGGGCGAAGCTCGGGGAAGTTGCTTTTCCCGAAACCGTCACCGTCACCATTACTTATTTTCAGAAGTATCTATAATTATCCTTATCCTTACTCACGATAAATAACACAGGTTGTTACGATATTCCCGCTACTTTTTCAATCTTCGATCTTGCGAAGACCCTTCATGTCTCGCCCGCATTTCACGTGGGTGGATTCAGCATGCACGGAGTAACGGGGTTGCATTCGCTATCATTGGCCGAAAAATTACGTCGTTGTTGTCATTTCTAACGAAAAAAGAAAGGGGAAGGAAACTTGTCCTCGGCACTTGGTTATCCAAAACATTACTGGGAAAAGATAACATGCAACGCTAATATTCCCCAATTCTGCGGCCAAATCGATCTCTGGCGAACTTATCTCTCTCTCTCTCTCTTGCTTGTTTTAGTGAGAACGCACAGAAACTTTCGAGATTGTTTCTCGATCGTCCCATGAGCGCTTTGGATACGGCTATATATTGGGTGGAATACGCTGCCAAATATGGTAACTTCCTCCAATCACCAGCCGTGCGTTTCTCTTGGTGGCAACGTCGCTTATTAGACGTTTACGCTTTCTTACTGTTCGTGGTTAGCGCGGTGCTTTTGGCCGCGCTGTTTATTCTGCGGAAGATCAAGAGGCTCTTGTTCGGGCTGCGTGTGTATGCAAAGGACAGTACGGTGATCAAGTCGAAGAAGAACAAGTAGGCAAAACAGAGGCAGAACTTTTTTAGGAATTTTATGCAATGGTTTGCCGTTTATGCGCTTCTCGCGAGAGAGGAACAATAGCCGGCAACGAATTGTTAGGAAGGAGAAAAATATTTTTCATTCTCTCTCTCTTTTTCTTTCATATCGTGTATATGTATCCAGAGGATTTTAATAAAGTGTATTCTTAATTAATTGTATTATATAACAAACGTAATTTCTGCTGCGATTGTATTAATTTTCATGTGGAACAAAATTGCATCATTGTGTATGTTTGAACAAGCGCGCGTATGTGCGTGTACCTGGTCGTACCAACAAATACATGTTATAACGCTGATATTTTCATTTCAAGATATATATAATATGTGTCACTTGGAAATGTGCACGGAGCGCAAAATCTGACTCGATCGAAAGCGGTCGAAGTGCGTGTTGACAGACATCTCTGATCTATTAAAGCCAATCTACATAAGATGCAGGACGTGAGTCGCAGGTCGCAAAACTGGACGCAGCGTGACGTGTTTCCAGTCGCTACATATCGTAGACTTCAATACATAAGATGCACAAAAATTAACCGAATTTTAATTTTCCGCGTCCCGCGTCTTGCGACTAGCCAATCAAAATATATTTTGTTAAAGCCAATATAAGGCTACATAAGACGCAGGACATTCTATTATTTCATTGGCACAGAGAGAGTGTTTGCTGCGTATCTATGATAGACTATGTAGACGTAACAAATCTTGCGACCAAGCGTTATTTCTTGCGATCTGCGATCTGCGATCGCGTCCTGCGTCTTATGTAAATTGGCCTTTAGTGGAATTATGCAAATATCCAATTAGTTGCCATGCTCAATTGTAAGCCATTGCCGAGTGAAATAAAGTAAGCAGGTCTGATAAAATCAATATAAAGACAGTACTCGCAGCGTTGGATATAAAGACGTCATTCGCGACACTTCTGCCATGCGCGTATTTTTACCTACGATTTTTGCCCACTCCGTGGGGACTTTTCTTATTCGTACACGTGAAATATACATTTACATACGCATAAATGTGTGTGCGTGTGCGTGTGCATGCGTATATGTGTATATTTTACCTGACGGCAGCATCGTGTTCATGTCCTTCAGCTTTGAGCATTCTTAACGTTATCTAGGGAGAGGAGAGTGTCGTGAGCGTGGAACGTCAGGTAGCTCAGTGATTTAAAGCAGTTGCCCGGCAAGTGAAAGACCCGGGTTCGATTCCCGGTCTAGCGACTACCGCGCTCTCGATATTTTTCTCTCTTCGGAACGAAAATAAAATGCAGGTCCCGAACGCACGACGTCCCGTCACCACCTAGTATGCCCTTCTTCTTTCATGCGTTTATGAGAATTTGATGGAGTTCCTCGTCTAACAGCGTGCTTATTCATCGTCGTCTTTCCCGGAATCTGTTGAACAAAACGATGCGTGGAATATTAATGAGTTAAACCCTTTGCACAATGCCAGGCAACAGGCAATAAGAATAAAAATAGACCAATTACAATAGATTATTTTTGTAATAGTCGATTGTGATTGGTCTATTTTTATTCTTATTGCTTGTTGCCTGGCATTGTGCAAGGGGCCTTATAGTAGCAAAAGTGAAGGTAAGCAATTAAGGCCCAGTTCCACAACTTGTTTTAAACGGAGATTAAAGCTAAACCGATGGTTAAAAATTTTCTTTAAAATTCTCCAAACGGACTTGGGAGCAATATCGTGAGTTTGAGCAACTCTGTTAATAGTAGAATTGGGACCTTCAGTAAATGTCTGCAGAACATCAAGTTGTTTTTCTTCGTTAATGACAGGTTTCCCTGATTTAGGGCGATTGTTTACGCTACCAATTTCTCTGAAACGTTCCATTGTTTTTAAGACAGTGGACTTATTAATTCGACGATTCGGATACGTCTCATTAAATAATTGAGCGACAGCAGCGTACGACCGCTCGTTATCATCCCATCCGCGCATCATGAGGATAGTGATTCTTTCACGTTCCGACAATTCGCCAGCCATTTTTAAAACGTTTAATTTTTAATCTGCCTAAGATCTGTGAGACTGATTTTAAGTAGCAGTGAGAACAACTGATTTTAAGTAGCCGTGAGAACAACTGATTTTAAGTAGCAGCGATAACAACTGATTTTAAGTAGCCGTGAGAACAACTGATTTTAAGTAGCAGTGAGAAAACTGATTTCAAGTAGCCGGTTAATCCTGGATAACACTAAGTGCATGAAATTTCGAAATTTGAACGGCCGCCATTTTTAATGGGGGGAGGGAGTCATAGCGACTTAAAATTTTAAGGGTATGTTTATTATGAAAAGACCTTTCAAATGAGCGCCAACTCGACCCTTAGTCTAATTTAAAATTTTCAACTTCCTTTTACTCCCGCGTACCAGGGAGTGGGGAATGATCGGTATCCATGTCATAGGGTAGCTTTTTTGAAAAATCAAAATACGTGTTTTACCGTTGTTTTGATATTTTCATTTTTACAAAAATTATTTAAGGGTTTCCACACTTTTGACAAACCCTGTATATGCCTGCACTAATATAAACTGCCGTGTCAAGAACGTATTTGCTGCTGGAAGTCGATCTCGGAGCCATTGACCAGACTGTGGTGTTGAAGCTCTCGTTGCTATTTTGTGTAAAGCCGCCGATGCAACGAGAAAGCAGTTCGTCACGGCTTAATTCGTCATAAATTGGAGAAATCACTTCGTAAACTTCTTGAGATAGAGGTGGTTTATGCGTATGGTCTGATCCAGTAGCCTGTGCCTTCTGCCATGAGCACCATGAATTTTCTCCGCGCGGGCATTTGTCGTGTTTCGGTTCATAGTCAGTCGACAATTTGTAGTCTAGCGTCGTATAGATTTCATTACGCATTTTTTCATCAGAATGATGATTTCGACGTATTGCTAGACCATAATAAATTGACAACTCGTCAATTAATTTGCCCGTTAACTTGCCTTTTCTTCCTCTTCCCGTCGGGTTCAGCCGACGGCGTTCGCGTGATATCGCACAGCGCTGTGCGCGAAGGGCGCAAGTACGCGATCTGAATCGCTATAGGAATAGGAGTGCCGAGAAGCCGAGCGAGTATGACGACATACAAAATAAGTTTATTCTATTATATGTGACGTGGCAGCCGGAAAGGCGCCCCAGGGCGAACCTTCGGCCCTTATGCGAGGATGCGGGGGGGGGGGGCGAACAGTACATCGCGCGAGAATTACGGGGGGGGAGTGCCGCCTTGCGCTCCCCCGTATTAATTAGTGTTAGCAATAGGAGCGTGCAGGTGGAACGGTCCCGCGTCCCCGAGCTCTGTGCCCCTGGACCTCCTGTGCCGCCCATAAAGACCGGAGGGACCAGCGGAGGAAGGAAGAGGACGACACCCCTCGGCAAGACCGCCACCCCAGGTGAATGCGCTTCTTTAAAAGTACTATTATCGATTCCGTATCGCCGTGAAAGATTCTCGCTGCCGATTCCGTTGTCCACAGGCCCGCAGGGATATCGCGCTAAACTGTCGGCGTTCCCGTGCTCGAAGCGTGAGCGCCGGCTAGACAAAGCCGGTCTAGACAAAGAGACAGCGGGAGTGCGAGCGAGAGAGAGAGAACGAGCAAGAGTGAGACCAAGCACCCGTCCCGCGGATCGAAAACAAAGATCCGCGGAAGGATTCCCGTATCGGGAGATACGACGAAGAACGGGGAAAGACGGGTAGCGCGACAAACACAAACGAAATAAAAGAGGGCACTCCCGTTTCTTTTTCTTCTTTTTACCGCTTACTCAGAGAGTCGATTACCGAGAACGAAAGAGAGAGAATTATCGTGGACGAGACGGGTGACAGTCATTAGCGAAATAAGAAAGGATACCGTGTGCCGGGGTGGAGTGTTGGAGTTGGTGGAACGACGGAGTTGGTGGAATTCCCTGCGCCCGGAGGATTACCGCTGGTGGCGGAATTTCGGAGGGACGACCCCGAGGAAGGAGACCGAGAGTCCACGCCGCCGGGAGGTCCCCGCATTTGTAAGACTGTCCACTTGCTTTATAGTATCGGTGTCACCAACGTATTGAGTCTCGTAATAGTTATCGGCGTAGAGCAAGTTTCGAATTCGCGAGAGCGTCTCGCGGAGTGTACCGTATCGAGGGGTCGGATCGTGCCGATCCCTGACAGAATAAAGACTGAGATAAGCGAAGCGCGTCTCTATTCTTGTGTCTTCCCGACTGAATCCCGGATTCCCGATCGAACCCTCCCGTCTACCGACTATAAAATACCGCGGAGCTACCGGTCCCGTCGAATTCGCGTGTCTCGGCCTTGGGTAGTGTATCGTTTCGTGTTGGTGAACGGTGCAGCCCGCTGTACCTGGCGCCCAACTCTTTGGTGCGAGTGCGAACGACCGAGGCGCGTGGACCGACGGCAATTTGCCGACGGCGAGCGAAAATCCCGTCGCATATACAACGAAATAGCCGTACACGTCGGCGAGCAATCAGCCGATCGCGCGGAAGTCTTGAAGCGCCTTATTCGGCTGTAATACGCGGACTTACAAGCGTAGATTTGACGTCCGAGCGTGGTATTCTCTTTAGACCGGCGGACATACGGTATCCTGCGATAAGCGGCGCGCTCGACCGCTACGTTTGCCGATGGCGCACGGAAAATGGAGATAATTGCAAATCGGGCAATGCAAGCCACGCAAAGTAATGCACGTTAAACGCGGCGAGTGCTCGCGGTACCAGTAGGTACTCGATCGAGCATCAAAGAGCTCTACCCAGACACGAAGAACGCAACGCTACTTCCTCAAATCGCAACCGAGGACACCGAATGCAGCCACGATGAAGTAATAACACCGATAATGTTAACCGAAAATTCAGTGAAGATCGCGCTCGTTTGTTGCAATCGGAAGTAAAAGACCGCTCGGTAAAAAGCCCAAATGCGCAGAGAGAGCGATAAATTTCGGTCTCAATTATATCCTTTTTCAGCTCGAGCTGGCAGATAAGGATTGGCTGTAATTCGTTGGCCGTAACTCGCCGTGATCGCATGCTAGGGGTCTGCCCGACATACACGGCGAATACGCGGGAATAAACATTGTTTTGAGCATTCCTCGCCGGGGATCCTGTGGCCCAACGTTCGGCGACGAGATCCCCGCTAACCGAGCACGCATAGATCATTTTTTTGTCACGCAAGGGAAATCTTCATGGATACCCCCGACCCTTGGGGGGGGTCGGGGGTTATGTCGGACTCTTACCGACTAAAACCCCTGCGGGATGTCTACCTGTCGGACCGTGAGGAGGGGAGTC